TCGTTAATACCTTATTAACATGGGATAACAATATGCATGATTAGTGATAGTAAGTAAGATCATTATTTCCATATACCCATAAAGGATAATACATTATTAACAGCAGATAACCTTATATTTGATTACTGATAATATTTCAATTCATACATTACATAGTCTGAAAAATTTCTATTGCGGCTACAGCGCTATTCTCAGAAAATTTTCTATTACTTAACCTTCGAAAATTTTAAGAGCTTTCGAATTTCCCTCTATTGACATGTATTGTATGAGGTACGTATGTAAAAGAATACAAACAGAATTAATTATAACTGCACTAATTTTTCTATATTCTCATAGTTGGTAATTTCTTATCGGCATGCGATAATTTTATTTATAATTGCTAATAGTAGGTACAATCTAAATTTCTATTTTCACTTAGTCGCTAACATCTTAACGGCATAAGATATTTGTGCGTTCTATTATTGAAAGTAAATAAGTTCGGAATTTCTAAATACTTATACTGGTGAGTACCATTTTAACATGAGATAACAAAATTCATATTGGTGATAGTAGGTAAGATCATTATTTCAATATTCCCATAAATGATAATACATTATTAACATCAGATAACTTTATATCTGATTACTGATAATATTTCAATTCATACATTACGTAGTCTAATAAATTTCTATTGTGGCCACAGTGCTATTCTCAGACAATATTCTATTATTTAACCTTCGAAAATTTTGAGAACTTTAGAATTCCCCTATATTTCAATGTATTGTATAAGCGACGTATGTAGAATAATACGAACAGAATTAATTATAACTGCACTAATTTTTTTATATACTCATAGATCTTAATTTCTTTTCGGCATGCGACAATTTTATTTATGATTACTAACAGTAGGTATAATCTAAATTTCTATTTCCACTTAGTCGCTCATATCTTATCAGCATAAGATCATTGTATGTATTATTACTGATAGTAGGTGAAATCGATAATGCTATGTACCTATACTCGTTATTACCTTATCAACATGAGATAACAAAATGCATTATTAGTGATAGTAGGTAAGATCATTATTTCTATATACCCATAAATGATAATACATTATTAACATCAGATAACTTTATATATGATTACTGATAATATTTCAATTCATACATTACATAGTCTAATAAATTTCTATTTTGGACACAGTGCTATTCTCAGACAATATTCTATTATTTAAGTTTCGAAAATTTTGAGACCTTTAAAATTCCCCTATATTAAAATGTGTTGTATAAGGTACGTATGTAGAAGAATACGAACAGAATTAATTATAGCTGCAATAATTTTTTTATATACTCATAGTTCTTAATTTCTTATCGGCATGCGATGATATTATAATGATTACTAATAGTAGGTATAATCTAAATTTCTATTTTCACTTAGTAGCTAATATCTTATCAGCATAAGATTATTGTATGTAATATTACTGATAGTAGGTAAGATCGATAATGCTATGTACCTATACTCGGTGATACCTTATTAACATGGGATAACAAAATGCATTATTAGTGATAGTAGGTAAGATCATTATTTCTATATACCCATAAATGATAATACATTATTAACATCAGATAACTTTATATTTGATTACTGAAAATATTTCAATTCATACATTACATATTCTGAAAAATTTCTATTGTGGCCACAGTGCTATTCTCAGAATATTTTCTGTTACTTAACCTTCGAAAATTTTGAGTGCTTTCGAATTTCCCTCTATTGACATGTATTGTATGAGGTACGTATGTAGAAGAATACCAACAGAATTAATTGTAACTGCACTAATTTTTTTATATACTCATAGTTAGTAATTTCTTATCGGCATGCGATAATTTTATTTGTAATTACTAATAGTAGTAATAATCAATATTTATATTTTCATTTAGTCACTAACATCTTATCGGCATAAAATTATTGTATGTATTATTACTGATAGTAGGTGAAATCGATAATTCTATGTAGCTATACTCGGTAATACCTAATTAACATGGGATAGCTAAATACATGATTATCGATAGTTGGTAATTTCATTATTTCCATATACCCATAAATAATAATACGTTATTAACATCTGATAACTTTATATTTGATTACTGATAATATTTCAATTCATACATTACGTAGTCTAATAAATTTCTATTGTGGCCACAGTGCTATTCTCAGACAATATTCTATTATTTAACCTTCGAAAATTTTGAGAACTTTAGAATTCCCCTATATTTCAATGTATTGTATAAGCGACGTATGTAGAATAATACGAACAGAATTAATTATAACTGCACTAATTTTTTTATATACTCATAGATCTTAATTTCTTTTCGGCATGCGACAATTTTATTTATGATTACTAACAGTAGGTATAATCTAAATTTCTATTTCCACTTAGTCGCTCATATCTTATCAGCATAAGATCATTGTATGTATTATTACTGATAGTAGGTGAAATCGATAATGCTATGTACCTATACTCGTTATTACCTTATCAACATGAGATAACAAAATGCATTATTAGTGATAGTAGGTAAGATCATTATTTCTATATACCCATAAATGATAATACATTATTAACATCAGATAACTTTATATATGATTACTGATAATATTTCAATTCATACATTACATAGTCTAATAAATTTCTATTTTGGACACAGTGCTATTCTCAGACAATATTCTATTATTTAAGTTTCGAAAATTTTGAGACCTTTAAAATTCCCCTATATTAAAATGTGTTGTATAAGGTACGTATGTAGAAGAATACGAACAGAATTAATTATAGCTGCAATAATTTTTTTATATACTCATAGTTCTTAATTTCTTATCGGCATGCGATGATATTATAATGATTACTAATAGTAGGTATAATCTAAATTTCTATTTTCACTTAGTAGCTAATATCTTATCAGCATAAGATTATTGTATGTAATATTACTGATAGTAGGTAAGATCGATAATGCTATGTACCTATACTCGGTGATACCTTATTAACATGGGATAACAAAATGCATTATTAGTGATAGTAGGTAAGATCATTATTTCTATATACCCATAAATGATAATACATTATTAACATCAGATAACTTTATATTTGATTACTGAAAATATTTCAATTCATACATTACATATTCTGAAAAATTTCTATTGTGGCCACAGTGCTATTCTCAGAATATTTTCTGTTACTTAACCTTCGAAAATTTTGAGTGCTTTCGAATTTCCCTCTATTGACATGTATTGTATGAGGTACGTATGTAGAAGAATACCAACAGAATTAATTGTAACTGCACTAATTTTTTTATATACTCATAGTTAGTAATTTCTTATCGGCATGCGATAATTTTATTTGTAATTACTAATAGTAGGAATAATCAATATTTATATTTTCATTTAGTCACTAACATCTTATCGGCATAAAATTATTGTATGTATTATTACTGATAGTAGGTGAAATCGATAATTCTATGTACCTATACTCGGTAATACCTAATTAACATGGGATAACTAAATACATGATTATTGATAGTAGGTAATTTCATTATTTCTATATACCTATAAATAATAATACGTTATTAACATCAGATAACTTTATATTTGATTACTGATAATATTTCAATTCATACATTACATAGTCTAATAAATTTCTATTTTGGAGTTATTTAACCTTCGAAAATTTTGAGAACTTTAGAATTCCCCTATATTTCAATGTGTTGTATAAGCGACGTATGTAGAATAATACGAACAGAATTATTTATTACTCGATCAATATTTTTATTTACTCTCATTCGATAATTTATTTTCGGCATGTGATAATCTTATATATGATTTCTAATAGTAAATAAGAGTAATATTTCTATGTACTCATAGTTTTATTGGCTTATCATCATCTAATATTATTTGTGTATAATTACTGATATTAGATAAGATCATACATTACATATTTAAAAAATGTTAATTGTCGGCACAGTGCTTTTCTCAGATTATTTTCTATTATCTAACTTTCGAAAATTTTGTGAAATTTCGGTTTTCCCTTTGTTGAAATAAATTTAATAAGCGACGTATGTAGGATAATATGAGCAGACTTATTTATAACTCTGTCAATATTTCTGTGTTCTCACAAGTCGCTGAATTCCTTATAATCAGTCGATTTATAAACATAAATTTGAAAATGTTTTCTTTTGATATACTTTATATTTGCTGTATTAAAAAAATTTGTAGAAATAATTTCCCCCTTTGCCTATGTGTGTGTAAAATTTAGTCATAACTTTAGTCACATTTCATTAATAATAATTAACTATTATTACTTTTATATAATATCTGTTTTCCTATTTTTGCAAGTGTCAATAAGTAATGAAAAGTGACATTCTTTCGTAAATAGTGAATTATTATTTGGGTAGATCGATAGCAATGTACAAGTGGTAATGCAGAATTATAACATTAGAAATTAATTTAAAAGAAAAAAAATTAACCTAGTAGAAAAACTAAAAATCATACACGCGTACAGTATTTCTTACTCGAACTATTATGTCTTCCTATAGTTTCATTTCATTACTTATCGTTTAACCACATGCGCATGCAATAGATGGTTAAACAGTTTGCTGTTTGCATATTGGTCGGCACCCATGTTGGAGCCAGTTATTGTTATTGCATATATATATGTGTATTTTGTGAAGTAGGGTAGCATACGGTAAGGGGAATATACCTTCCCTGTTCACGAGTACCGGTTGCATTTTTAATAGCTTGCAATGGACTTCTTTGAACTCTTTGCAGGAAATATCAAATGTAATTTTTGGGCACATGGAAGAATCTGGATATTTTATATAGTGAAAATATATAGATAAATGAGATGAATTATTAAAAATTTATTTCTAAAAGCTAATTTATTAATAAAATTGATAAGGAGAAACGTAGAAACGACTTCAACATATATTTGCGATTTATAAAATACAAAAATAAGGTATCGGACCCAGTATGCGCCGTATATATTATAGATAATATAATATTACACAATATTACACCAAAAGATTAGCAATAGCTATCGTCTATAGTAATTATCATAGTAACTATGTAGTCATCATAGTTACTCTGGGTATACCTCGTGCATATAATTTGTACCTAAAGAACAGTATTTAGGAAGTGGTTGCAAATTGGTAAAGATACCTATCTTTAGTTATAATTATATGCTGTTGTATTTTTTAATATTTGTTTGTTTGTTTTATGATTGTCCCACTGAGTGTATTTATTTATGTTTGTAACTGTAGGTGATATTTGCCCAATTAATTGTTTTAATACTTCAAAATCTTTTAATTTATATATCAAATGTGTAATAGATATTTCTTTTTGATCGAGTTGCTTGCATATTGGACTTATTTGTGTCATCCATGCTTGTTTACAAAGCAATTTTATGTCTGCACTAGAATAACTTTTAGTCATTTCCAATATCATGTTTATTTCATTCTGATCTTCCAACATCTCATCGCTAAGATATAATCTGAACATATGAAGACGAGTAATTTCATCGGGTAATGAAACGTATATTCGTTTCTCAAGTCGTCTAAGTAAAGCTGCATCAATGTTCCTGGCACCATAAAATTATAAGTTAATAATGACATTTTAATTTAGTTTTATTCTAATATTGTTGTCTTGAAGGAATGTTTTAAATAGTATACGATAAAGGATTGCATTTTGAAACAAATTAAAATATGTTACATGCCATTTGAATAGAATTGTTATAAATTAAAAGAAGTAGCAATAGTTTCCTCGTGAAATTTACATTTGCATTATGAGTCGTATCCTATGCTTCATGAGGAATTCTAGCTACTATGAGTGTGAAATGACTGTACTTACCATGGAGAATTAGTTGCAGCCAAAAGAACTACATTTGAATTTTCAGTAGATACCAATCCATCCATTCTTGTCAGAAGTTCTGATCTAAATCTTTTTGCAGGTTCCGACAATAAATTATTTTCTACTGTAGCTATCCAATCTATTTCATCAATGAAAATAATTGTGGGTGAATGACTGTAGGCAAGATCAAACAGAACCTGTTCAGAATTTATTAAATTATTACTTCATTAATTAGTTTGAGAATTATTTACTACATTACTACTTACGAAATGTACTTTGTTTTTCAAGTAACTATATCATTTAAAAGAAATTAAAATATACAGTAATAACATTTGTCATTTGGTTTATTAGAATCTAACTCAGTAAGTTCGATTCAGTATAAAAAGTTAACTATATCAGACAAAATATCAATTTTAACAATTTCGTTAGAAGATTTAGGTGTATCTTACAGTAAAGTCATTTGTTAGTTCAAAAACGAAGAATTTAATTAAATTTTGAAAAATTACTTTTCCAATATTACTACTGTATAGTGTACTATATTATTTCTTTGACTTATATATGCACTCACATCGTCATATATAGATATTTATAGCATTCAAATACGTAAACAATATATAGAATTTTTCTCTTATATATAACAAAAGTTAACTCACACGTATATACTTTTCAGAATCACCTCTCCATTTACTGACTAACGAACTAGCCGTAATATTGAAGAAGGTGCAATTACATTCGGTCGCTACTGCCTTCGCTAACATCGTCTTGCCTGTATCAAAAATTTTGCATGTATATTTGTAGAAACAAAAATAATATATGGGCATCTTACCTGTACCAGGTGGTCCATATAAAAGAATACCTTTCCAGGGAGAAAATAACTTGGCAAAGAAAATAGGATATTTAAGAGGATATACGATGGCTTCCTTGACAGCATTTTTACATTGTTCTAAGCCTATTACGTCATCCCAATGTACATTTAAATTGTTTAAAACTATTTCCTGAAACAAAACATAAATTCAATTGTTGGAAAAATGAAATGCTCAAAAAAATGCAATCTGTTAATCATTTGAATAATCTTGGTTCAAATATAGCATACATTTGACACGTCTTCAGCGATCTTTCGCAATTCCGAATTTGCCGAATAGAGTTTTTCAATGCATTTTGAAATTTTTGATTGCATAGATTGTTCCTTCGGGATACTATTTTGCGATAAAGATCCATCCCTGTGCTCGTGGGCGAAAATCGGCGTTATTGTCAATGAATGGTTAAAATCGTTCACGGGATCATCATCCATCTGTTGCTGTGCATTCTTCTCTTTCACTTGCTCAGTTTTTGTTTGTTTGCCAGTTGATCTGACTTTTGTCTTATATTCTCTGCAAGATCTAATTCATATACTAATTGACATTTCTACAAATTTGATTACGATATGTTTTGAAATACCACAATATAATGTATAAATACTAATATAATATATTAGAAGATAAGCTTAATCTGTATTTCATTTATAATAGAATGTGATAAATTTAAATTTATACTGCTAATTTTAGATTGTTCAGAATCACATTTAATTCGTCATGAAACAATATCACAAAATAAAAGTTTCATAACATTTATTAATACTAAATAGTTTAAATTCTTACGTTGTGTTTGCATTCTTAGCAACCTTCTTACACAGCATAGGATACTTATTGAACTTCGTCTTATAGTAGCCATCGTACTCCTTAAAAATCACATCCAAATCAATATTGTCGCAGATCTGGATATCTGGAGATAGTGTGGCTTCTTGAGTCAGTGTAGCACAAGTTTTATCATACCTGAAGAAACAGAAAATTTAGCAAAGGAATATATGTTTGCCAATATAATGTATATTTTCTTTTTGACATAATCTAACTAAAATTATTTTATATTTAGAATTATATAAAGAACTTATATCGTAATATTATAAAAAGAAATTGCATCGTAATATTCGATCGTAGTAGTTGCGCATTTTTTTCTAAATTATTCGATTTTTTATGTAATCCATACTTCTTTCATATCGACAGTCATTGACAACTTATGCGACATGTAACCAAGCAATTACTTTCATGCTATACAATTATATGTGAAATTTTGGAAACTATATCTTTTAAGAATAAAGAAAAGGGAAAGAAAATTGGAATGGCTCAAAAAAATTCAAACTCCATTCTTTCGTTACGCACTACAGACTGCTTGATCGGATATCGATTCGCGAATCGTTACTCACTCGCCCCACTCTAACCTCGCATTACCGACATAAGGTCAATCCCTATCTTACCACACCAATTTTAATCTTACAATTTCAGTTACTGATAGATGCATGCTGAGAATAATTTTTTATCGTATAATCCGTAATTCTTCGGGAATTAGCTTGAATTTGAACGCGAATATTTTTATTCGCTCGGCAACTGATATTACCAACTGAGTTATTTTATAATTATGTTCTCACAAATTTCATATTGAAAATTTATCATCATTTATCAATTTAAGAGGCAGATGTAACTTAATTACTTTGAGCTAGTAAATCAACGAAAAGTTTTTAATGTATTTCTAAATAATTTATAACTTCAAACATAGTAGTAGATCGAAATAGAACATACTCGAAAAGGCACAGGAGAAGAAAAAATTTGACAAATTTAAAACATAAGACAAAATTTAGATTCTAGTATGCTCACCCATTTGTGTTTAAATAATCCCATATCAAATGTAATATATTTCGACGACGGTCTGAAGCACGGCTCTTTTCCTAGTTTAACATGGATTTCTCTATTAATAATTTTTATAAAGTATATTTCATTTATCTTTACTTAATTTTTGTACTCTAAGAACATTTTACGTGTCATGGGTGTATAAAATATAACGGAGAGAAAAATAAAAATATTTCTTTATATTTTAACTGTTTGGTAGTACATTACAAAACGAAGGAGTTGCGCATAACTTGACATAGTAATCATCAAGATATTAAAGTTGAAAACATACAAAAAGTTACTCACGAAATATTCACGAAGATATTTATTTTGCATTAAAAATTATTTTATTCTTGCACAACAGAGATTCCACATTATAACAAAACGTGAAGAAAAAATAAAACATTATTGCTAATCGAGCGGAATATATATAAAAACATATATACAAAAAATATACGGAAATATATACAGAGTTAAAGTAACCTGTATATGAATACAAACACATGTTCGTGTCGTATAACAATTTTTTACCTCTTCTCGTAAATGATGGTACATTGTACTCAAGTTTCCTTCCATCGATAAACCAGCATTCATAGTGACTTTTATAACTATAACAACTTTCGATAAACGTAACAAATATCGTTAATTTTCCTCGAAGCAATTAAGAGATGCTTCAGAAAACAAATGCAAACGCTTCGTTGCTATGGTCGATCCTTTGTTTCCCATGCAATTTGTACGAAGAAACTAGACCTACCACTTTATGGAACGTTGTATTCCATATCCTGAAATATTGATTGCAAGAAATGAATAAATTTAATTAAAAAAACAGATGATTCTTGAAGAACGTGAGAGAAAAAAATACAATTTTGCTACGAAATTTCGGAAAATTAACAAAGTTCAAAAAGACCTTTAAAAATTTACAAAAGATAGGAAATATTTTAAACTTGATACGTAGCTCTTAGCTCATTATCATCATCATTTTTATCATATTTTTTTCTTCTTTTTTTTATTAATTATTTGATCTAACGTAATTCGGAGCTTTATTTATAATAAAATACTAATAAAGTATATAATATAGGAATATATTACAAAATGATTGAACTAAAAAATATCCTATATGCTATAAATATTTATATATTAGTTAAGTTATATTATTATATCTTTAATTAACATTTAATAATTTGTCAGAAGATTCATGTTACACGCTCCTCTATTCAACTTGCAGTCCGACCGGTGCCAGAGCAACTATTTATTTACATATCTTTCAGAGCTGAAATTAGTTGCTTTAATAGTTTTGATTAACAATTGTAAAAAAATTATTTGTTAAAACCATTCTAAAATGACTTCTTGCAGTATCGGCCCCGCAGTGCAACTTAAATAAAAAGTTCAAATACAGGAGATGATGTACTCTCTTAATTAGTGAACTACTTTCTTTTTTGTATATTTTATGTATCTTGATGATTACATAATCCATATCTTTGTTTCTTGCAATTTTATACATTATTTATGAAAAAAGAACTTAATATGAAAATAAAACAATTTTACATCTATATTCTTGTTATATTATTATATAAAAATTTGATTGTATTTCATACGAAAAAATTTATATAATTAGCAATTCCTTCTTTTTTCTTGATTATTTCTTGCTTGTTTCAAACCATGGTAATAACCTATAAAAGACACAATATGATTTAGGTCTATTAGAAATTTAATAAAAAATGCTAACACAAAATAATTACCTGTGTGAAAGCCACTTATATACCATGACATCAACATACTCGAAAGTGCGTCTGCGTCATTATCTGGTAATCTAACATATTTTGTTAAAATGTAATTTGTCCACATAAAATTTAAACTTATTATATTTACCATAAATTGCTTATTAATTGTTTGAGTGGCATGCAGCATTAATTATCAGCATGTTAATATTAATATAAAGTATGTTATGGGTTGTCAATAATTTTTGTATTAGTAATATAAAAATTTTAATAATAGTTTTATATTGCAAAATATAAATACTTTAATAAATTTGTAACTATGAAAAAGTTCAATGTAAGCTAGTAAATAGAAATGCTGAAATTGATGTGAACAGAAAAATGTAATATAATAATATTTAATAACATTGTAATATATATTATATTTTTGTAGAGTTTTGTTATAATTCATGACACTCAAACAGTTAGTGTTAGAGATATGTACTTTAATACATGTTTTAAATATAATATAAAGTTATAAATTGTACTTGGCCATTAATTGTGGTGGTAAGGGAGGTGCAGGTGGCATTATATCTGCTATTGAATTGAAAGATGGTCCAGGCATGAAATGATGTTTATATTCTTTGGTGTCTTCAGATTCGCAATCCATTTTTTCCCTATTACATTTTTTTGAATTCATATTTGTAGAAAAATTTGTTTCATCAGTTGCATCATTTTCTTCATTGAGTTTTTCTGCCACTGCATTTTTTTGTTGTGCTATCTGACTTTGCAGACCTTCTGATTCTAAAAGAGATTTCAACTCTACTTTCTCTGTATTACCATATCCTGAACAAAGTTAAAAATCTCTTGTCATTTGACAGGTTACAACATTAATGTAATATTATAAATCTATACTTTCAATATATCTTTCGATCAACTTTTTGGTTGACACTTAAATACCAATCATATAAAAGATATTACCTACAAATTTTATGATACAAGTTCCAGTGTTTTCATAAATTTTTAATATTATAGCTTCATAAATTTCACCATCCTCTGAGTATACTGCACGACAAGGGGATCCTACAATCCATTTCTACCCAAAAAAAATGTATGTGCAAATTACTATTACAAGTATAAATAAGCAAAATCAAATAATATTATTAAATTTACAATAATATATATAAATTATGACCTTATAAGGTTTATTTATATGTTGAGACTGTTTAAAATTCTGCAATTTTTCTTTAGATGGTGAATTTTGAACGTCTATACCCATTCGCTTGACAACTTCTTCTTTTGCTAAATTTATTGCTTTATCATATGCTTTTATCAATGCAGTATCATCCCAGACATCTTCATCATCTGCATCTGTAACCTTTGTAAAACAATAACAAATTATCTTTAATACAAGTATCTCATTGGTCAGTTATTGAAAATTATGATAAATATAATTTTTCAAAAACATATATTGTAGAAGTTTTTACAAATATAGAAATTAGGAAATAATTTAAATTGTTATTCTATTATAAATTAAACCTTTCTTAATTTAATATCAACAAATCCTAACCTAAACTGAATATTAAAAGGTGTACACATACGTTTCCATTTCCCCGTACAAAAAGAACATTATTATCTGCCATTTTATCAAGATAATTTCATTTAAATATTTAATTTATTTCTGAAAAATTAATTGTTACATTTTTTAATCGCAACAAATTGTAAACAACAATAACATTACAGTCACTACCAATCATAACATTACAAATTTTTATAATTACTAGGTTTCCCAAAAGCTATTTTTGTTTAAGGAAGACTAGTTAAATGTTCCTAGTTCTCACTAATTGTATTTATTTTATTTACAATAGCATTAGAATACTTTTAAAAAACAACATATGCATACATATATATGTAGTACCATAAAATTGGTATCATACAATATTCATACCGTTAAATACAACAGTTAAATAACAGACAAATTAAAGAAATATTATATCTAAAAGAAAATCACATGAAATTTATCAAATATATATTCGAATATTAATTTTTTGAATATTATTAATACCACAAAAATTAAAGTAGAATATTTATCTAGGTCAATAAATATAAAATAAGTATTTCTCACTCATACGATTTCTTATAAACATATATTTATAAACATATATATAGTATTAATTAATTAATTTTTATTAATATAATTTTACAGCAATAAATAAAAATAAGTATCATATAATAGAAATATATCCGACATTTATTTGTAGTTAATACATTTATTTATACTAGAATTATTGAAACGATAGATTTTAAAACAATAAAACTATGCAATATAACAAGAAATGTTTATAAATTTCTATTATAAAAAATCATGAAATATTCTAAAATATGTATTTTTATGATATCCAGTAATTTTTAAAAGGTATCAGAGAATTATTTTATTTGTATTGGTAATTCGTATATTAAAACGCATGGCTCAAAGCACGTGCTGGATCACGTCACTTGTGTTAGAGACTATTTTATAACCTGTCGACTCAGAGGAACATAGTAGCATTAGAACGAAAGAATTTCGTGAAAGTTCCTGTACAAAGTACAATTCTACTACAACTGGCATTTTCTGTGATACTTTTGTGGTGTTCAATAAGGGTGTACCATACATATGACGTTTTGAAAGTGGAATGGCGTTAGTAAATCAAATTCAAAGGTTCTCGAGATCAGTTCTCGGCATTGTTTCGAATTATTCAAAATATACAAGCAACACAACGTTGCCTCTTTTACAGACAACAAGACGAACATCAACTACGCAACCACTTTCAGAAAAGCAAGAGTAAGTGATACGATTTTCCTCGTTTCCATTTTCTTTCCTAATTCACCGTTAACGTACAACTCTCAATGTAAGATTAAATTTATCATATTTATCAGAAGAATGACAAAATTATTTAAGAAATTTTTTATACTTTACGAAGGAGTATACTGAGATATTTTAGTATGGAGGTAACAAAAATTTGTATTAATAGAATAATATATATATTAATAAAAATGGCAGTAATAATGAACTACTAAAAATATAACATTGTTATAAAAGTAAGTTATGTGAATTTATGTTAAAATAAACATTTTATTTTTAACTTATTTGTGTTACTAAAATATTATTGTGACATTTGTCTATATGTAAACTAAAACACATATGTGTACAATGTTAAATATGTGTCACAGTTAACAGATATAATCAAAATAAAATTACTTGGAAATATATAAAATATTTTGTAGAAGAAGAAAATAATGGTGTTATAATAATTTGTATTTAAATCTTAATATTTTCAGAGTAAATATAACATTTGTTAGAGCAAGTGGAGAAAGAATCAAAGCAAAAGGAAAAATTGGAGATACTATACTAGATATAGTAGTGAATAATGATATTGATTTAGATGGATATGGTATGATTTAAAGAAACATAATTTGGTTAATTTAATGTAAAACATTAAAAACTAAAACATTTAGAAATAAAAAATATGTTGAAATTTTATATTTTTATTATTATTAGCTTTTGACCATTATAATTAACTTTAATTTTTAAAAAATAATATAAGCTAACATTGCTATTTATACAGGTGCCTGTGAAGGAACATTGACATGTAGTACATGTCATTTAATATTTTCAAAAGAAGTATATGATGCTCTTCCTGACAAGCCAACAGATGAAGAGTTAGACATGTTAGATCTAGCATATGAATTAACAGACACGTAAGTTAATAATAATAGTCTTGTATGAAATGGGTATAGATACAAATTTTATTCTATTTTTATTCTATTTTATATTCAGTTGGAACATTCAGTCTCACTCTATATATTAGTCATTGTATTATGCCAAATTTATATCATTTTGTTATCATTTTATAAAATCTTTGCTTTTATGTAAGATTACTCGATGTTGTAATATTCTCATTTTAAAATCAGATACTTCAAACTTTGCATTTTAATGTAGAATTTCAATGTACTACTTCTAAATTCTATGAAAGTCACACTAGTAATGTGAATAAATTTTCATATCTTTTTTTATTTATAAGCTTGCCTTTACTGTAGATAAAAATTTATATTATCATGTTTAGAATAATGGTTTTCAGATTTTATTAAAATATCTAACTATAAATTTTATCAAATAATAATATTGGTTTGTATAACAATTAAAAATTTTACACTAAATTTGTTTTAAAGTTTGAGAAGTTACCTAACAATATTTTTCAATAAATTTACATAATACCTAATTCTAGGTCACGTCTAGGCTGTCAAATAGTAATGACTAAAGAACTAGATGGAATTGAGGTAAGAGTACCAGCAACAATTAATGATGCAAGAGCATAATTAGCATTGGTTAGATAGATTTCTAAAAATTTGTACAACTTCTCTTATAATTATTAAAATGTTGGAATTACAAACATACAATAAAAAAACATTATTTTTTAACGTGAAGCTAATATATATATGTAAAATAACTGAAACATTTTATATATAGCGATAAGATTCTTGTAAAGTTATTCAATACAATTTTGATATCTGTGATATCAAGCTAATATTTTGTACATTACTATTGTAAAGAGCCTGTGTAATTATGAAGGGAATATATTCTTTATTTTTAGTATGTTTAAAAGTTAAAATCAAAATAAAAATTATATATTTCTTTATATGTATGTTAAAATAATCTATGAATTATAAAATATTTTATAATTTTCCTATGTAGTTATTTACATCTTTAACTGTGACTATTATAAATAAGATTACTTATAAAACAAACTTCTTAAAAATTATTCAAAATAACAATAAATTAATAACAATCAAATCATTGGATATATTATTTTATCCTATAATTAAAATTCAATTATATTGAAGAATCTTATTTATTTATTTTTTGTACATTATCATCTTTAACTTCAGATAATAAAACAACAAATTAAATAGTTTTAAGCAAAAATCTTGATTCCTTTGTTTGATTTCCCTTGCTCGCGTGCCTTAACTACTTAGAAGTAAGATACTTACGCTTTCAAAAATTCATTTACAAGCAACTAAACGCTTTACTGAACATAAATTCCTATTATCTGTTCAGAATAATTTATTTTTTTCTTAACTAGATACATACCAAGTACATCTATGAAGTTGGTATTTGTTGTATCAGTACATAAAGCTAAAACACTTTTGTACTATGCTTGTTATACATGGACCTAACAAATAATTTACCTCGTATATTGTCGTTCGTATATTTTGTTACGTGTAAAATATTCTATTACTACACTACTTACAAATTCGATATAAGATGTACATTATATCGTGAAATTTACATATTTTCACTCGCTTACCCTGCCCAATTTGAATATAATTCAGAACATATGCAATATATTTATATATTCATGATTGTTTTACATATTATGTACACTGATTTAATTTCTATGAGTGTGAATCTAATAATACAATATAAAACATTAATGACAAATTTGCAAACTTATCTCACAAAAGTTATAAATATATCCTGGCACGTTTCGTTAAACGAGTCAAGTAATTAAATGACAATTGAGCGATCGCAGTAAAAAGAAAAATGAAATATTTTCGTTACTTTCTATTAATCTACTAGTAATATACAAATGTGCAGTAACGCTTTGAAAGATGTTGAAGGTTTAAGAGCTTAGTAATAAGCGTCTTTCAAATTTCTATTTCTTCTAGTTTGTCATACTTCAAAAATTGCCGTGAAAATATTAAAAAAATGTTATTGGTACACTGAAATACTATTAGAAGAAAACATTATGTTTGGAAATGCTTGGAAATGCTTCAATAAACATTATAATGAAGAATCGTTTGCTTTAAACGTTATGTATAAAATTTGAAGTTAGCAAGCAAATGTCTCACAAATTACTACTATAGTTTTGAGAAATATAATACTAAACATTATATAAATATTTACCCTGTTCGGTGATAATATTAAAAAAATTTACAATTATGAAAACGAATAAGAATATTGACGTTAAAATACTAAGATAATTTATATTTGTTATTTAAATATGGCGCCAATTCTAATTTTGTTAATTAGTATTTATTCATACTTCAAATTTATTTATCCTGTTTGATTTTTTCTCTTTCGTTTTCTAACTTCAAAGAGTAAGTCCCTCATAAAATTAATATTGAGTATCTCAAAATACTCAAGAGTAAGCTAAGAAGAAAAATACATATTATTTCTCTTAAAAGAATTCACTCTATACACATAAACGATTGATCATATTATGTATAGGCACGGACAGTATAAAAACAATACTTTTTATCTTTTAATCTCTCATTTAAATAATCCTAAAGATTTAATTCTAAACTCGTATCGGCCTTCAACTCGATAACTGCGTTTATTGGAAGCAATTAAGCTACAGTCCTGCACACAAGAGAAGAAGGAACAAACACGTATAGTATACACGCTTAAATGACAAAATTAAGACAAGTTACGTTCAATGTGAACTTGATTGAAATTCTAATCTCGAATTATAGAGTTTGTTACCATCAATTTACAAAATTTTACGTTGTAATTATTGTATTTTAAAGAACATAAAGTGCTTGTTTACTTGATTTTAAATAAAGCTAATAATTGCGAAAATGAATAACAATTCTTAAGTAAAAAGAAATAATATTATGAAATATTATACTTTTTAGACAATGCAGATATAATTCGTGCTTTTATACTTTTATAAGTTTTCAACTCTCTGTAGTTCAAGATTTGAGTTTCGCCAGTTTTCTTTCTACTGCGCATGCGCAACGGGATATTTATTACCGCTGAATTGAGCGCAGCAGTCAAAAATCCGAAAATCTTATTCTTTCGTGAAAGCGAAAGTAAAGTAGGACTAGAAGTTTCATAATATTAATAATAACAATAATAATAATAATAATAATAATAATAATAATAGTACTACTACTACTACTACTACTACTACTACTACTACTACTACCACTAATAATAACAATAATAATAATAGTAAAATCATTAATATTAATAATAACATATTAAGTAATTCTAACAATATTAATAAAATAGTATAGTAATAGTATGGTAATGGCAAGATACACGCGGGTATAAATTAGTCATTCCTTTTTCATTATTTACGACGTATTCGGGTCATTCTTTAAAACTTACTTCATTTCTGATCTGTTAATAAGTAACTTTACAGTCATTACACCATATTTCCCCGTTTCCTATTATGATTCATACTTTCTTCACTTTCTCGAAGTATTAAGCTCGTTAGAAGTTACTTAAAATTATTCTTTTATTTTTGTAACAAGTTTTGTTGACTGTTCTTTGGAAACAATTACTTTTTCAATTAAAACAAGATTTGCTTTATAACTAAAATAGTGAATTTTCAAATACGTTTGATCAATCATATACATTTTCACTACTTTCTATTCAATAAATATAATTATTCGACTATTTTTTTCACAGAAAACCAGAGATAGAATGAAAAATCAAATGAATGAACTAATGAGTCCATAGAGTACAAAAAATGTGTGTATCGAACAATCATCGAACAAAGTTACAGGATCTTCGAAGCAACAGATTGACCGGCAAAGCAGCTTCGAACTAACATTGAATATTAATACCTATTGTAGTTGAAAAATATATTCTTCATAGATCAATTGCTAATCCCAATCTTCCACTTGCAATTATTATTCTAGCGATTAAGTCAGTACTATCCAAACTTTGATCATATTATTACTCTACATTTAAAATTAACCAATTACTAATAGTCTGTTTGGTTATTCTGTTATTGTTTATTACTACTTTTTTTCTTTGAGTTAGTAGTAGTTTATTGCTAATATTAATTGGTCGATTTGTAATTAATTTAATAGCTATGTAAAATGAACTTAGGTATTTAATGCTTGAATATTGTGGTAACTCATTATCATTGTAATTTTCAATTGTATAAATTGAAACAAGAAATAGCACAAAATTTGAAGTTTTTAGAGAATATATAGTTTATATACTTCAAAATCATAAGTATAATTAGATATTATTGAAGAGAAATGAAAGATGAAATTAAAAATCAAAAATGTAAAATAGTAAACTCATACTACTTGGATGTTATAATTATATTAGGAAATCACTTATAATATCATATATAATGAAATAGACAATTTAAAAAGCCAATTTATTTTAGAAATGAAATAATAAAAACATGTTGAGACTTTTGTTTTTAATGATGATACATAAAAGAAGGTGTAGAACGAGTTTAACCTGTGGATAGTACTGAATCGAGTTTTATATCTCATTAACGAATTTTTGCTGCATAACATTCTGCGTCTTTAACCGATAGTTAATCTTGGATCTATACACGACTGTCTGAACGACAGATTAAAAATCAATGTTTAAATCAGAAATTAATCTTATTAAGACCTAATTTCAATAGTATTCTATAAAGTTTAAACCAAAATTTAATGTTTGACATTAAGAGCTAATTTTTATAAACCAAGTTACAATCTGTAGATTAGAATATAATTTTTAAATAAAAGATCAAGTATTGAACCCTAATTCAATTTCTAAATCAATATTAGATATTTCCAAAAACCAAACCAAAAATTGATTCACAAACCAATAATCTGAATCTCTACAACAAGTTTTATCCTTCAAATCAAAGACGATATGTAGGCTAAGATTCAACTTTTATTAGGCAAGACTTGACGACCACTAGACCAATACATAATCTTTAAAGTAAAATTTAATTTCAGACGCTAACGATAATTTTTAAACCAAGACTTAATCTTGAGATTAAAATTTGATCTGTAAATCTATACTCAATCTCTAAACCAAGGCTTAATCTTCAGACTAAAATTCAATTTATAAATGAACAATTAACCATTAATCTCCAATTTCCAAACCAAAACACAATTTAAACCAAGGCTAAACCAACGTAGACAATTCATGCGGGCTATTGGTGGTTGCTGCGCTACTTAGATCTAAAGTGGCAGTTGGAAGTCCAGGGCTGACACTGCCAGTCGCTTCCCGTGGCAAATGTTGCGATCTGTTCAACTTATTTCCAGGACTTGGTGGCGATCTATTTGCTGGTGTGTCCGGAGGAGTGACCACGTTTCTATGTCCGCTCACATTCAGGTGATTGTGCGTCGCCGCGATCGGAGCTGGTGATGAGAGCAATAAAGGCGGAGGGGACATTGACACGTGTCGATGATGATGATGGTGATGATAGTGTTGATACTGTGTCGTACGGCCGTGCGTCGCGTGGCTGGCATTTAGTTGGCTTGTCACGGTACCGACTTTCGTCGGGCAGCCAGCGTGGTGGATGGTCAACGGACCACGTAGCTGTTGTTGCTGTTGGTGCTGCAGCTGGGGCTGGTTTTGCTGTTGCAGCTGCTGCTGACGTTGCAGCTGTACCGCTGCTTCGCACTGTTCACGCGCTAATGCCTTTACAGCATTCGTCTTCTCCTGAAAAAGGATAAAAATGATAGTTTAATGTGATTATGTGGTATAAATTGATGTTAAGGGTAATATAAATTATTGTATTAAGCAGCAACACCGATAAATGTCATGACACTACTGATACCGCTGGCGGAATCGGAAAAAAAAAGAAAACGTAGTTTAATTTTTAATTGTGCTTACTTTATTTATTGATATCTATTACCAATTTAATATCACCAAATTTTGTTTAATAATTTGAACAGTTAAATGAACTTTAACTTTGCGTGGACTACTGTCATTAATATACTGCAACGGGAAAGTTAGTAGGAAAAAAAAGATATATTTGAGTCTGTTAATTCTTCAAATACAAACGTGTTCTTACCCTCTGCCACACGAAGACGTTATGGACCATTGCACATCCACAAAATACGATGCCAAGGCCTATGAAAACCGACGTGACGATTGCCGGTGTTGAATGAAACTGGATGAATGTATATAATATCATACCTAAAAGCATTGTCAGATATGATACATGTATAACAAGTGAAATAAAGAAAACACGCGGCTACATATTATTAATTCTTAAAATTTCGAGAAAATAGAATTTTCAATCCTGATTGTTTTAAAATACAAGCGAGATGCAATAATTTTATATTTTTATTCTGTCGAATTTACTAAGATATAAAAAAAGTTTCCTCTAAGCAAGATTAAAATGTCTAGTTTGAACTGAATTCAAATTCCTGTGTAGGGTTCACACCAGTTTCATGATCGATCGAACAGAAGGTAACTATATAAATTAGCATGACTCTACACAAACCACAGATTAGATCTTGATTTATCCATCAACCGTGTTAATGACAGGAATATGCAGTTTAAACTTGACAGAATTGAAGGAATTGACTCTTACCAGTTAGAAAGACGGGAATGCTAATGAAAAACCCTCCGACAGCGCATATCCGACTGATGGATGATTTTTGCAGGTACTTGTTACTCCTGAAACAAAGAAAAATTTAAAATAGTATGATTTTCACGAATATGCGATAATTAAACGAAATATAAAGAAACATGTTTTCTGTCATAACAGTCAAGAATATCCTAAAAATTGTATATGAAATTTTAAATATATTTTGTGGCACTAAAAGTTAGTCATAGACTGTATAACAGTTACAAAGAATGGAAACTAAATTATGCTAATTTTTAGTAATAAAAATGTAAAGGTTATAATTCACTTTTTCCCCAATATATTATTTAAGAAAATCGATATAAGTATATATTGTATAATAAGAATATATCTATATGACACGTGTATATTTTATGTACAAATGAAATATATTTTATTTAATATACGTACGGTATTTACAAGAATTCTTTATTAAAGAATAACTTTATTCTGTTTATTTTTTATAATTCATTAGCAACTTATTTTCCTTATTTTGTATTTTATAATTCGTAAAATAAATTTCGTGTTAATAAAAGCTTCTTTGAAACTTTACTTTCTCCTATAATCTGTATAAATATAACCCCTATAAATTCTGTGTATCGTCACACGACAAAGTAACACTATTCCACATAATTATCCACTTACACTCATCAGTCAACGCGGTAAACCAATAATGCTAATTTCCAACAACTACAAACGATTTTACCGCAGTTGCTGGTAAGAGAAATTTGCCAATCAATGCTCGTATCGCTCTATAATGGTTACCTGATTGCCACTTGACCACACCAAAAGAACCACAGCACCCGAGAACATTTACGATCGCAACGGAAAACATAAGCTGTTATAGACGTTTCCTGGTCGCAACTAGTTTCCGCGTACTAAGAACACTGTAACCGGAATTGAGGAAGAGTAAGTACTTCCTAGAATAATCCTCGTATACTCTCAATGAATGTTTATATACAATGCCTCTAAGTATAGTCGTGAATCGTTTTTATGTTTAATTGTACGACATCTTGGAGGAGACGTAGCAGAATCATTTGTACCGCTTTAATCGCGTTCAAGTGAATTATATACAGGGTGAATTGCTAGATTTACTCATAAGTATCATCTTCATGAGTGAAGTAATAATATCGCAATTATCATTATTATGTGAAATAGAAAAATGCGCCATAAAATTGTTATTAAACTTAACCTAAGATTCATAGGTTATGATCAGATGAGAGAGGAGAATAGGATAGAAAACATGACGAGATAAAAGATCGAAAATATTATTAACAGAGGAGATAAATACAACCTGCCCTGATAGTGTATTTAAACCTGGAATACATGGAGGCTACTAATTTTCGGTAATACGATAAATATACATTTATTTTTATTAACGTAATAAAAATGATAGTAATGCAAAAATATAAAATGTTCGTTAATATTATGGAACGAATGCGAATATATTGATAGTTAATAGTCTTGTTCTATTATTTATAATTTGTTTATATTTTGTTATTTTTGTAGTTGGTATTCTCTTCAATGATTTGCAACAGACAGGCAGTAACAGAACATCTAAAGTACATAATACTTCATGTATATGGAGTCATTCAATTTAAGCAATTATTGCTTCTGCGTAAAAGCAGACCGACCTATAGCTACGTTCTGATTTTAAACAAGCTTCATTCGAACGGGGCACAATAAGAAATTCCCACGAAGCGGTTGAATCCATCCCTTTTAGAGGTCGGCGACCTCTTTGGATGCATTTCAAGAGCACCAATGAAACTGCGAGTTCTAAACTAATTTCTCATCAGGCTTCTGCCTCGGTGTAAATTTAATCTTCCGCGTTAGTATATGCCGAACGAACTCTTATTTTTCGCTTTTGCCGTCTTTACTAGTGAAACAGTCAACATCCGTGACTAAAATTGTCTCGTGAAATTGATGTGATCTCAGTATACGGTAGACGAGAAGAATCAAAGTGACATAGTTTGTAACCTACTTTACGTTTCGTTTTATGATCTGACTTTTGTATTTGTACAAAATTTATATATTTGAAAGTATCCTTTCTAGGACGCTATTTACATCTTTTTGTTTGCTTTATTACCTTAGTGAATTACTTTATATTATAATATCACTGTAATTACTAGAAAATTTTGTATTTCTAAAGAATTTTAGAATTTATAAGTAACAATAGTAACATTCTGCAGTTCATTTAAGTTTTTAATTAAATTATTTGTTACATAACAAAACATTTATTTAGATTATGAAGTAGGTTATAGGTATTTTGCAGTTAAATATTCTGCAAAATGTTCCAAAATTTCTATTAGAATGTAAGTCTACTTTCAATTGACAAGAATTATAAAATTTTGTAACATTTCGTTATGTAAGTCAATTTCAAAATTATTTTAGATAATGATGACGAATAAAATTTTTCTGGAATTTATTACAAAAGAGAAATTGAATCATAAAGTGGCGATAAATAAATTAAAATTAATTTATTAAGAAATTAATAAATATTGATATTAAACAATATAACCATATTCCTATATGAATTTAACTATTGTGACATATTAGAAAAACATATGGATATTCGTACTACACACAAATTTGATCAACCTATGCACTAACACTGCAATAAATTTCCATTGCAACATTCCACGCTCCTTCGCCGCACCTTAAACTCCTCGCAAGATTTATTCCACCTCAAAGTGCTACATAACTCCTATGACACTGATCAAAACTTAAACTTTACCAAATTCCAGAGTATCTCTTGAAACTAAAGAACTTATAAATCAATACATAAGTTCATTTTTCATTAAAATATAATTATTACCATATTGTTTTAACATACATTTTGAATGAAAAAGAAAAAAGAAAATACTATATCAGTTCTAAACATAAGAAATCAATTTTTCAAAAGCCTTTCAAATTTATCAAAAAAAAATCTAAAAATATTTACATAATCCAGGCGAAAGCGATAAAACAATACATACAGAATACATGTACAAAGTATAAAGATAATAAGTGAAATAATTAATTTATAATATCTTAGCTAGTAACTTTGAAAAAGAACTGCATCAAATCTTTGTGATTTTATTAATATTTATAATGTATACAAATTATAAATAATATATATATTTTATATACTTAGGAAAAGAATCACATATTTTATTTCAAATTAAACAAGTAATTATCTTCAATGGTATACCTCTTGGACAAATATAGTGTAAAATCTGGTTGCAGTGAAGTTTAAAATAATGTTAAAAATATAGTTGCGTCATATAAACATAAATACAATAAGAAGGTTAAATACCAGAAATTCCCTCATCAAACAGATACAACCCTCTCAAAAACACCTACCTACATATATACATACACCACGAAATCGACTCTCATTCCCCTTTGAAACCACGAGCATGCAAAGTCAATTTCTCCGCGCCAGCCAGTTGAATAGGAAAGAAGGTCGAGGAGCCGGAGTTAAGAAGCATAGTTGGCAAAGAATCGCGTGCCGCCGCGCCATTAAGATCGAGCCCGCGATCTGAACAATAAATATTAGGCAGTTCTCTGACCTGCATTTCGCATGCGACTTCGAACGATTCAGAATGCGTAAATTTCCCAAGAACCGAATTAAACCGCTTACGGCTTATTACAATCTGTTAGGTTAGTTTATGACAGTGACACCCGTAACTAGCTATCTTTACACAGTATTATCTCATTCTACGTCAATGGCCTATGGTAATAAAATAGCTTACACATTTCCTTTTTCCGTGCGTTGAACATTAAATATTTTTTTATTTTATACTCGATCGATTTAGTATGGTATAAGTTGAACTACATTTTGCCAAGTATTAATACGCCGAGAGGTAATATAGTTCATTGTTTTTACCCACTCCTGTAATTCCTCAATGATATAACTGTAATGACAAATAAAATTTCATTACGTAAACTTTCGAGACTTTAGATAAAACGAGGAAAATTTATAACATATCTTTAATTGTTAATCGGTTTGTTATAGGTTAACTGAAATAAAATACGTACGGTTACAGTCAATAATTACATATATTTTACTGCTAAAAACGAACGAAGGATAGTAGTAGTGCAAAATAGTGAAACAAAGGGCAAAAGTATAACAAAAGGCGTAATGTGGGTCCGCCAAGTGGTGGGGGCAAGCACACGCGCATGTCTTTTACCAGCCTCTCTCGGCATGGGCGAAAGCTTCATTTTTGCTACAATGCACGTGAGATGCATAAAGTAGGTTATGTTTGAGTTTGAAAAATTTAGAAAGTGAAGGTTGATCTTTTTCTGAATCATAGCTCAAAAAACAATAGTCTTAATCGATGAGAACTCTTAACCATCGAAATAATATGATGATTTCCTTAAAAATAGAGGTGAAATAAGATACCTATTTTACTTGTGAATCAAGGGTAGATGGCATTGGTTGGCTTATGTGACTTCTCAGTGACTTTGAAGGGTAATACGACGACGACGGTCAAGAAGGTAAGGTCTCCATTCAACGAGATCTCGTTGATCTCGCCTAAGCAGGAAGAGTTGTCCCTCGGCCCTTTGATTTCGTACGAGTCTTTCCATTCACGATTGCGCGAGCCTGCTACAGACGACGACACGGGTCCCCGACAAAACCGTCTGAGTCTATTCAACGCGACGTCAAATAGTTTCACCTGAAGAGATGAATGGAGATAAGAATCGCCGGAGCGTCTCTGCTTCGGTGACAATGATATTTGGTAAATCCTTCTCTTGTTTCTTATTGGAACAGAAGGTTGGAAAGGGAAGTACTACTTGATCCTGAGGAAATATCACATGGTAGGATTTGTGAAGTATTTTTATATCGTTGCGTTTGCGGAAATATTTTGTATTCAACATTTGTTTGATATAAACAGGAAGAGATGAATGCTTTAATAAAGTACTATCGAGTACCACACACTGGGAATGAACAGTAATTACATATTAGATTATCTCTACTTAGTTATAAAACTTCACCGATAACGATATTATTCGTAAGGAATAAATCTATCTTGTTTCATAATAATATTTTTACTTACAGTGACAATATGTT